TATCAAATTGAATTTTTGTTCAATAAAAATCTTTCAAATGCGACTGTAGCTTTTTTTTTTCCCCAAAAACTTTGTCTTTAAAATAAGGGTGCGTCTTATAATCCAAAAAATACGGTACGTGAACAAATATTGATAGGAAGATTTTCATAGAGTGCATTTTTATTGTTTTTTTGTTTTCAATTACAAAGTTATTAGAAATTTTAAATCTATGAGCTTTAATACTGGAATTATAACTGATTTAAGGAACTGAAAATAAATTAAACAGAAAACAAGAAAATACCAACAAGAACATTTCAGATATTATTCACACTTTAATTTGCATATTTCTGTAGCATTTTATATATAAATGTCCCAAATCTTGCAGAAAAGGTTTTAGTAAATTGGTCTAAAACATTTCCTTGTTTTAATGTGCAAAATTTTCTGTTTCCATTTCTGAACCAGTTTTATTACAGCAATTTGAATCGAACAATATAAAGTAATAAAATATAGAAGTACTATCAAGACCTCTCAACAGAGGAACATGCAATTTCTTTGCATATTTTTATGGCACTTTATAAATAAGAATCCAAAAATTTACAGAAAAAATTAAGTGTAAACTGTACAAAATTAATCTATTCAATAATTTATATCAATTTTTTTCTATTTTTGTGACTATTAAAATGTTTTCTGTAGTTGAATGTATCTTTTCTATGTTACAGTAGAATATAATATTTTACTTTTTGGAAGCTGAAGCATCGAAATACAATTTATTATTTTTTGAAAATGAAATCATTTCTATTTCAATCATATTTGATTTAAGTAAAACTACAATTTATAACAATATATATATATATATATATAAAAGCTTAACCAAAATTAAAAGGAGTTTCTGAAATATTTTTAAGAAAAAGGAAAGGATATTAAAAAGTAGGATATTTTTATGTTTATATCTTTGGAATATCCAATTTTCTTTCTTCTATGAACAGTGTTTTATTTCTAACACAATATTCTTTAGTCTTTTTGCTCAGAGAAAATAACTTTTTTACATATTCATCAAAGAGATTGCTTTCGAAACCATGATATAAGTGAAAGTAAAACACATTACTAAGATACTAGTGATATAATTCTTATCATTAAAAGACATATGTGAAACATTATTAAGGTTCCTCTCTCATTACTATAGAATGCCTTTAGGAAATAATTCTTGGCCTTTATGCGCATTTCTAGTTTCCATCACAGTATTTTCTAGTGAAACAAAAATGGAAGAAATTAAAGAAGCAATGATTACTAATGCCATAAGAATCCTATTAAAGTTTATCATTTCTAGTTGCTCCTCGACCATACTTTCAAATTCTGTGAACACTTTGCCACTAATCAGAATGCCCCTCGACAATGAAGAAACTGGAAAATTCGATGCACAGTGTCCAAACGTTTTCTCAAAGAAGTCATTGCAAGGATAGCCAATTGTGCCTTTGGGTCAATAGGAAGTGTAGCAACAACCCACCATATCCAGGCTGGACCATCTACAAGAGTTAAGTAGTCATTTTCAACAGCTGGCATGGCACCAAAATGTTGAAGTATTTGTTGCTTAGTCTGTTGAGGTAAGTTCATAAACCATGTTTCTGCTTCTCTATAGATTTGTCCATGAAGTCTTTTTACTTCTTTTTCCATTAAAAATAAACAAAAGTAATCAGTCACTAATTAGAAAAAAAAATCATAATATTTAATATAATATAAGATAACGTTTTGGAAATTTTACTTCATATTATAATAATATAGTAGTGAACTCAGCAAACAAATATGTATTACAGGTTTTGTAAAATGACTGAAAATGTTTAATAAACATTTTAAAACAAGTAAAAGAGAAATAGAAAATAAATGGCATGAATCATTAATAAGTTTGTTTTAAAATAAAATAATTTCTGGTGCTATACGTTAAGACTTTTTTTGATTACATCTTTTTATAAGATATTTTGACAAAGAAAACACATTGTTTCTTATAATTATTTCTGACATAATTTAACTTAAAGAATTTTCCAAAAGCAAAGAATCATTGGCATTTCTTCATAAAACCAAAAATAAGATCGTAACATACTAAATCAGGTAAAAAATGAATAGAAAACTAATAGAATAAATGGTAAGTTATTAAAATAGTAATTAAAGCTACTTGTAGAAGTTGTGGTGTACCAAATTTAATAAGAACTGGGCTGAAAACTAAATTTTTCACACAAGTTTCTACTTTTATGGTACACATAGTAAAACAAATCACGTAGACATCAAAATAGCATATTACATCTGTCATGATATAAAAGACTGTTTGGTTTAAATATTAGTGATTAATTTATATTTGTCAGTGAATATTTTATTATTTTTAAGTTTTGCAAAAAGAGTTAAAAGCAGACGATTGTAGGTGGTCTTGTTAATAATAATAATTGGTGTCGAGAATATAGAAAGTGGCCAGATGACTATGTAATAAAGATATAAATAGCATGAGACAAGCAGGAAGCAGCAGACAGACACTATTAGACAGATAAAAGCAAAGAGAATATAGTTGGTGTTAAGTTAAGTAATGAAAAGCCTCGGTGCAGAGCCAAAGCCCCAGATGGTGAATGGGGTCCAGCATCTTCAAGGCCGAGGTCCTGGCAGAACCATAGACCAAAGACCCATAGTCCAGTTTGGATTGAATAAGGGCACAATAGATCCTGAGCATAGAACATCGATCTGCTCCTCAAGAGCTGGAAGAGAGGACACGGAGGATGTTCAGAGCCATTGCAGACTTGATACGTAGCTGCTTGATGTGTGAAATGAAGCTTAGCTTATGGTAAAAAATAAGCTCCAAGAACTTTGCCTCGGGGACCACATGAATAACTACATCGTTGAGACAGAGCTCGGGATTGGGGTGGAGACCCCGTTGGCAGCAAAAATGCATGCAAACGGTTTTGGAAAAAGAAAATTTAAAACCATTTGCAGTGGTCCATGTCAACAACCGATTGAAGGCAGTCTGAAGCTGCCGCTCAATAAACCTCATGTTCGATGACTGACACGAGATGTGGAAGTCGTCGACATAGAGCCCATTTGCAATAGTCGGAGGAAGATTATTAGTGATGGCATTAATTTTAACACTAGAAAGTGTGACACTCAAGACACAGCCATGAGGGACTCCAAGTTCCTGTGGAAAAGAACGGGAAAGAGTTGAACCCACACAAACTTGGAATCGCCTGTTCAGTAAAAAGTTTTGAATAAAAATTGGTAAATGGCCACGCAACCCATAGGAGTGGAGGTCCTGCAAAATTCCATACCTCCACGTAGTGTCATAAGCCTTCTCGAGATCAAAAAACACAGAAACAAGGTGTTCTTTCTTGAGAAAGGCTTCCCTGATCGACGTTTCAAGTCAAATCAGATGGTCCATGGTGGAGCGCTGTCGACGGAACCCACACTGGGTGGGCGAGAGGAGCGTGTTTGATTCCAGGAAACAAACAAGATGAGCATTAACC